ATTTTTCTTTCATGCATAGCTAATGATTAAAACAACATATTCTATTTGCCTAAGAATTTATTTCTTATTGGCACATCAAAATATTGAAATCAAAGTTATCTTTACCCTTATTACTCACTGCTGCTGAACCCACACCATTGTTTAAACCATGAAAAAATAAAGCAAACTTGGCAAGAAATACTTAAAACAAAGGCCCATCAATATTCTCCAATTTGTCAACATCTCAATTACAGCAATGGAAAAAATGTAAATTTCATGTGCTTTGAACACTAAGGGGTCTATTCTTCTGTCAGTGCACATGCGTAACTCCCATCACCATTAATGGGAATTACTCATACATATCAACACAAGGATGGGCCCCTCAAACTTGAAAGAAAAAGATGAATTAATAAGGGCTACTCGCTTCCTGTATCTTCCTCAGTTGAAAAAACTCATTGTTCTTTAAGAGTTTTTCATACTTCATACAGTTCACCTTTATGAGAGCTGTGCCTTCTGAAATAATGCATCTCCAGTGAAGCATTATTTATTAGCAAGTTTGATTTTTCAGTCTGGATGTTTGAGCCTGCCTTTCAGGAATTTCCTTTCTTACAGAAGGCAGCTCTTCTTCAGTAAAACCATACTCTAGCGCTTTATAGGTAAAAACACAAAGGAATAAAAATATGTTCTGAATCTTTATGATGAATATGCATACTAGCTTCAGCAGGCTTACCATACTTACAGAACTAGGGAAAGGAAGTTGTAGCATTAACTTTTGGATTAGCTTCCAAAGACTTTGCATGAATATATTATTTTTTAATTGTTGCTAACATCAACATATCCCTCTCCTTTTTCTAACTACTGGAGTTTGGTTCTAAGCTTTGTGAAGTGCTAGTAGAGTTTCTAATAATAAAATAGACCTTTGGACTTTATCACCTAGTCTTGTAAACAAATTTGATTTACATACTATCTTTATTACAGGATGGTATATACTGAAGAAAAAAATAATACTACTTAATTTTTCCAACAAGCATCAGTCCAGAGAGTAAAGGATGCTTAATTTCAGTCAATATCTTAGTTGACTTTGTCCTGAACCAGATTATGGAGTCTTTGCCAAAGAAAGCTATCATGTACAGACATCAAGCTGGCACAGAAGTACTTATAAACTACTTTGAGATTTGCCCTAGAGAGTAGCCTCAGATATTATTTATAGAGGGGCAGATCATTCAGCACAAGTAGTTATGTTAAAAAAAAATTCAAGCTCAAAAAGCCACAAAACTCACATGTGTAAAGTAAAGTAGATGTGATACTCTTTTCTATTTTTACTGCTCTATAACCTATCAGAATTTTCTAATTCCTGGCTTCTAACTTATGATCAGGTTTGTCACCCCAGGTTTAACCCTAAAAAGACGCTGAACTTCCTGAAAGGTCCAGAAGGAACACAGTCTCCATCTAACTTGGATGGATCAGGCCCTTTGAGTGAGTGAACTAGAATATGACAGATCAGGCATACAATCCTGGTGCCATAAAATATGAAACTGAAATTATTCCCTGGTGCTTGCCTGTAGACCGCATGTTTTTAAACCTTAAAAAGATTTATTTCCCATTTTTCATGCATAATCTGCCATATTCATTATTTGCAATATCCCATAAAGAAATTAAATAGGAATTAAAGTCTGGGAGCATCATATCCATCACAGTGGTACAAACTTATGCCAAATTCTAGAAGTCATTTAGTCTTTTATGTAAAGGCAGTGGCTGTTTTCACTTTGTTTAGCAGAGAATAAAGAAAACACAATACCCCAGAAGACTTTCAGATGTGTTTTTTCCTCTCCAAAGAAAAGGGTGGATGATAAAGCTACACACACCTTTTAATCTTCCACTTAGACTTTTTACACATATATTCCTTGGCAAAAACCCCAGGGTCTTCTCTTTCCCCTCCCCTTCTCTCACCCCCTTTCCTGCCATCTCCCTTGCTATAACTCAGCTAACCCAACAGAACCAGTCAGTTTTAAATTTCAGTTGGGACCCCGGTGACCTGTTAATGAATCTACAGAGAGGAGAAAAACTCACAGTGTTGAGTTATGCCTGGTGTTGCTAGCTGACTTGGAGTCAGAAATGCTTGAAGCGTTAACGTAATTGCAAGAATGTGAAAAATGAAGCGTTGGGCTCCTGAGCAAAGCGAAAGGTCAAAGCAAGCCCTACACAAAACAAGTCTCTGGAAGATGGCCTCATTAGACCATTAAATCAGCTTCTCCTTTTTCTCCTTTGTAAGATGTTTAGAGTGTTTTATTTTTATTATTGGACACATTTAACTCTTTCCAGGGCAGGGGGAAAGTAGATTGGACCTACTACATAATTACTAATCTTTAAAATTGTATTATACACCATTGATTTGCATTTGTGGATCTGAACTGGGATAAAGTCAATAACTGCTTGGTGGATTACAGATCACTACTACTTTGGTTTGCCAGATGATCAATATGTTGTGTTGCTTAGTTTTCTGTTAAACAAGTGAGGTGACATGTTAAGAACAACATAGACACTCATCACTAATAAAATTAGGATAATCTTTCAACATTTACTGCCTGAAGGCCCTTTACTTAACTCTTCAAATGCCAGCATGTTTCTAATAATACCAAACACAGACTAGATTAACATTCTTGATGCCAAAGGGAGCCATGAACTGTAGTGGAGAGACTGTCCTCCATAAAGAGACAAAATGTCTACACCTTTTTATTTGGTTCAAACTGTAAAGAATTATGGATGGGTTCTTACAGGCAATAAATGTGTCTACCTCACACAGAGAAAGTCTGAAAAAAAAGTCATCACTCACCCAAATTATTTCCATCTTCTCCCTCCCCAAAATATAATAAAAATAAAATAAAATAATAAGAATTTTTTAAAAATATCATAGGATGCACATCATACACTAAAGGCAAAAGCAGAGACCCCTGGAAAAAGTGCTCTCAAAAGCCAGAAGAGACTGACTCTAGGATGAATCAATCTCTGCTGCCACCAGGCATTAGTGGAGAAGACTGTAAGTTACTAATGTAACCCAAGACTCTCTAATGAGCTCCCATTTCCAAGAAGTCCTTTGGGGCAAGTGGAATAAATACTTGAAGCAGCATTTGTGGAAGCTCTCAGCAAAACTGCAGGGAAACCAAGTTGATCCAAGTAAATAACTGCACTGGAATAGCTCAAGAGGGCATTTATCCTTCCTGGCATTGTCTGGGACCAGCTCACTGTCTCAGGAATTATAAAGTAAAGGAAGAAGAAGAAAACCTAATGAAAATTCAAGAGAGACCTCACTCTCTTTATTCTTTCCCAGGGCTGAGAGGGTAAAAGCAATCCAGAGCCATCTCCAATGGGAATTCTGCTGGTCCTGTAGAATAATCTTTCATCTGCTAGCACCTGAATGGAATCAGTTTTAAGCAAGCAAATAATCTGCAACACCAAGAACTTTAGCTACAATATACCACGTAAACATTTGATCAACAGTATCCTGGCCTATGGCCAGCCAATAGACATAACACCATTATGCTGTTTAGCAGTCAAGCTCTCCCTATCAGCTGTTAAAGCTGTAATGGTTCATGCTGGATCTTGTACATTTACAATTTAATCCCATAGCAAAAAATCCTTGTGACTCATTTTGGAGTTGGATCACACCCTGTGCCATGGCCGCTTTCTATCAGCAATAGGATTATCAATGTATAAACAATTCTTACAAATAGAAGACAAAACCAAACCACTCTACCAGAAACAAACTTTGCAAATTCCTAGAACCACAATGGGTTCTAGGAAGCACCAGATCATCAGGCAGGTGAGGGAAACTAGCTCTGTGCCAAGCAATGGGCCGTGTGAGAGATATGAAATCATATATCTCTTCTGCTGTCTAGGCATGGCAAATATCATGGAGGGAGGCAGTCTGCAGCATGAGAATAGTCAACACAACTCTAGCCTTGAATGCTTCTCCTTTTGCCAGTTTTGGGTGGGCACATGGGCAAAAAGACAGGTAAAATACTGCAGATGTAGGAGAAACATCTCATGATGAGACCCTATCATAAAACCTTAAAGAGGTAATGTCTCTCTCACTGGCAGAAGCTTACCATGTCTGCAAAGAAAAACAAGAATGGAGTCTACCTTAAACTCTGGACTAAAAAAAAAAATCAAAAAAGGAGAAAAAAGAAAAAATCAACTCTTGAGTCAAGATCCAAGAATGACAGCAGGCCATCTTTATCCAACGTTTAGCACTGAGGGCTTGACTCTTACATCTTCTGGAGTCAGTTATTCTTCTAATGAGCATGTGTAAAACACTATCATAACAGAATGACAGCCTTTGACACTCACTCAGCATGGATGCAGATGACCACACATAAGGTGCAATGCAGTAGGAAATAAACCAAAAAACCTTAAAATAATAATCAAACCTCCTGAACCTTGAGAAACTTTCACTGTATATAGATAAAAAAGAGGTTTTGCAGTTCAAGTGTATCTCTATTTACCTTTCAGAATTCAGATTTTCAGAAGTAAAAACAAATCTGTACAAGCAAACATTTCAATAAAAATTTTTCTGCCTAATTCAGGGTTTGCTTCTGCTTTATATAATTTAGCAGCTTCATAACTTCACATAGAAGTCTCTCATATAAAACTACAGGTTAAACTCTCTTTCTTTAACCCAACTCAAACAACTGCACCGCAGCTGGAGAATATGTCTGTCATTATATTTACTTACACCACACAAAAATAAACTGTAGATAACCAAATTTGTAAAGGAATTGGCAGAACTAATCAATTGTTATTACAAAGCTTGTTTGAAGATTAGATATTTCGCTTTGAAAGAATAATAAAATGCAGCTAAGTGGGTTAGGAAAAGGAAATACCGTCTCCCTAACTTACAGCTGATTATACTGCAAGTCTGCCACTCCATGTTTACTCTAAGGCAGATGTACTGATATAATGAAAAAAGCTGGAGTTATTTTAGTCATGCCTACTTTGTGGAGGGAAAAAGTTTGACCTTTTACCTTGCTCGCTGCTGTTGTCTCCACTCTGGGAAGCGTGGCCCCCGCTGGAGGGCCCTGGTGTGCCTGCCGAGTGCGTTGAGGTTGCATCATCGTGGTCTCTCCAAGATGAAGGATTCTGGTGTCAGAGTGCCAAGGAATTTTTTCCACGGTTCCCATTCCAATAGCAAATGAAGAACAGAAAGCAAACCGGGAGAAGATGGGAGGAAGGGGAGGAAAGTATACACATTAGCATTTGTGAAATGTGCCAAACACCTATACTGTTTGCACAGGGTAATAATTCTTCAGCAAAGACAAGCAGAGGAGATACAAAGATTTACTTGTTAAAACACAGGACAGATTTTTTTTTTATTTTTTAAACTTTCCACAGAGTTTTCTGGATTTAATTGTTTGAATAGTACCGGGAAACAATATTTCAGGACAGACAAACCGTAAATTTACTTTCTTAAAGAGCTCTACACGGTAGTGGTGGGGGGAGGGGAGGCAGTGGAGGGAAGAGTACCTGCCTACATAGTTTATGACACTAGGTGTTCTTATTAGGATCAGGATAGTTGGTATGCAAACTATCTCCCCACACTTTGTTTTTCCAGGCTGACTACAGCAGTGAGGGGAGGAGGGAAACTTTTTCAAGAAGTACAGGAGAAAATGCATGGGAGCCGAGTGTGTCTTCACTCCCTAACCTCTCTGTCACCCATTTAGATGCTGGAAAAACTTCCAATGAAGTCAAAGTTGTTAGGGGAAAAAAGCAGGTTTTCTCTGAAAGACATTATATTCCAAGAAAGATGCTTCCTCACCCCCAGCTACCACCTTGATATGACACATTTCAAGAGACTTTTCTTCATTTATCACTCTAACAGTTCACTTACAAGAATTGTCACGAACAACCACTAGATGATTATATAAAATAACATGTATAGTGATTTTCATGTAATTCCTTCTGCATTACTATGTATAAAACACTACAAAAGGGAATGCAGAAGACAGACTTACAAGTTTTCAAAACTTGGCTAAGTAAGAGCTGAACTACTGTACTTAAGTCACATAACTCATGTATACTTTCTAATTTATTGGGCATTGGCTTTCCCGGAGAGAGGAGCTGCTATTTAAAAGGATAAGTGAGGAAAACTTAATGTTACAGTTTAGTGCTACTTTGTTGAGTGTATTCTCCTCCCGTCCTCCTCCCCTTTCCTGATCATTCCCAATACCCTGCTGTTGCTTAAAGGAAAACAGGAATTCTACTGTACAGGAAGAGCTTTATCAGCACCACATGAAGGCAGGCAAGAGATGGAATTTCCTCTGGCAGAAAAGGAGAGCAAGAACACATGAAACAGATCAGAGCAGGGGTTGGACCTGCATTACTTGTCACCTGCATGGGGCAAGTTAAATCGAGCACATTATAATAATCCAACAACAAAACAAACAACGAATCTCCCCTCAAAAAAAAATTGCTTCTTAGGTTGCTTAGATTTGATTGTGGTTTAAATCTACACTGTGAAATAACATTAGACTATTAAAGCATAAGGAGAAGCTGAAAGCAGCAAGTGACAAGTTGGATAACTTCTTTGAGCAGGACTGATTCTGACCTCATCTACATCAATGTGTAGTAGAAGTAAGTTCAACATAATCAACTGATTTACCCATTGTAAAATACAGTGTAAGTGCAATTGGGACCAAGTCCCAAAATCTATATTGAAACATCTCAAAGTAATCTTCTAGCACTGATTAGTACCACATGCTGTATCGCAACACAGGATAGAACTGCCAAGTAACGGCTTGCTACAATACCCAGCAACATAAATCTGATGGGCCTGACCTGGATCACAGCAGAGACAAAGGAAAGAGCCCATGACTTCAAAAGGTTCCCAGTAAAGTCTCAGGTGACCAAAGGGTAAGCAGGATCCAAATCCCCTTCATCTTGCAAGGACAGACACACACATACACCTACGCATGTGGTTCCATGACAGGAAGACATGAGTAAAGTCAGAAGACAGGTCAGGATCTGAAATTTGCCTAACCTGTCAGCACAACATGCAGCACAAGAACACTTACAGCACAAAATCACCAGCCCTTCCAAAACCTAGAATACTGATCTACTTTTCCTCATAAAGAACTACAACAGGAAAAAGCTGCAACCAAACAGTAGTATTTTATATTCATTGAGGTTATTATGTTAATCTTCTCTAATTAATACTGTTATTCCCCACAGTTTCATCGGAAAAGAAAAGAAAAAAACAAACAGCAAAACAAAACATGAAAAACAAATAAATCCCCCAGATTTTACCATCATTTTTCAGAGTCAGATGGAGAGAAACACAAAAAGAAAGATGAGAAATCTTGAAAGTTGAAGCGACCCGGTTGTTATTAAAAAGAACAAAAAACTTGAAAATAAGGTTAGCAAAAAGTTCCCATGGAAATAAAAGGCAAAAACTGTGCAAGTTCTTTACAGCCTGGATTAAAACACAGTTGTGCCTATGAGCTTCTCTTTTTATCTCTGACTTAGGAAGCCACTCAAATAGCTTCAAGCTGAAGGCAAACAGCAGACAGAAGCTCTTCAGTCCTCTGCAGCCTCTTAGCGTCAGCTGTTTGCCGGATGGTAATCAGATAAAGAGCTAGAAGAAATACATGAAAAAGAAAAGAAACAATAGCATAGCATGAGTTTAGCCCTCCAACAGCATTGTGCTGGAACCTTCTTTTAGACATCATAGTAATTGCAACATGTTCACCTAGGCTAAACTTTTCATGGAACACAGTGAGTTATGCTAATTTTGTGTACTGCAGGCTCTCTTGTGCTGGCTGCTGTTGGAGCACCTTAGCACATGTATGAAAGTTACAATAATTAACTGGTAACTGCCCAGCTGTGTTTTAAGGCGAATGTCATCCAAAACCTATCATACAATATTTCAAAATCTAGACCAGCCTTTCTGTTTCAAAGCTGTAAAAATTTGGAAAGGGTCACTGAATGAGACTTCCCACAGCTGAAAACACTTGCTGTCTCTACCAGGCTGAGTTGTTCTTGACCTCAGTTTGTAGATTTGGTTTGAGAAAGACATACTGTGTTGATTGAGAATTCAATGTATTTCTTGTGACACAGTATTTTTGAGGAAGATATTTGGCAGAGTTTTGTTGGAGGACAGAAAATATAAGATAAGGTATTTACTAAATACAACAGTCAAATGTTGAAGGAATTTGAAAGGGAGAGAAATAGCTAGACTTTAATATTATAAAAAATGACAAATAATTTTAGGGGTGTAGTTTACAGGCTCATAAAAATGCAGCATTCTTTTCGTTTGGACTAAGATCATTGTACAAGTCAGTGAATTGAGCTTTTTCTCCCCTAGACCATTTCCAACCTCACATCCCTCAAAAAAAATTCTTGGCCAAATGACTAATCATAACTATTTATTTTATATTTCTTTTTATGCACACCTTCACTAAAAAAAAAAAAAAAAAAAAAAAAAAAAAAAAAAAAAAAAAAAAAAAAAAAAAGAGACCAAGTGGCACCTTGAAAGTGTGCTTCATGGGAAAACTTCATTGGTATAGTTGAAGTACCTCAAGAGATCCTAGTCTAAAGCCCACTAATATTAGTTACAATTTTTCTGTTTGTTTCAATGAAATTTGTATTGAGTTATCACACTGAAAAGAAGGAAATGTAGAAGCCAAACATACCAAACATATAGCTTTAGATAGATTACACAAACTGCTAGCATGACTTCTCATTTCTTCTTGCAAATTTAGTAATATACTTTGCAGAAATATATTGAAGAGTGTGGAGGATATCTGCCAAAACAGAATTGTCTATTTTGTGTACATGCGCACACTATAAAAATTTCACACATGTATGACCTAAACTAATGCCAGATACCATAGAAAGTGAAAAGCACACATGTATCTATTCCCAGTAGTTCTAATAATTGGGAGTCAAATATGGTACTCCTCTTGCTCTTACTTAATTGTGTTAAAGAGCAGTGCTACTAGGAGAAAAGCAGTGAATACTGAGTAGAGCACAATAGAAGGAGATAGAAAATAGATACAAGAAGCTATGTCTCCAGGGGCAGTATTTTCTATTTGCTGGGCTACAGACTCACAGCTGATAATGCAAGTTGTAATTAATATAAAAGCAGGAGACAATATGGGGAAAGCTTGTACTAGCAGGGCCACAGGAGATCACTCCACTGCTATCCGCTGTTTCTCATTTACACACACAGCCTTCCCTAGAAAACACAATTTTACCAATGTTTTTTCCCTTGAAAGTAAAAAAAAAAAACATTTAGCACCACCATTGAATTTTGCTAAATCTAGAAAAGAGCAACAGAAAGGACAAAAGGCATACAAAGCCAATCTGACACATTTCTCTTTTGTTGATGCTGAAAATCTGCTGGAAACCATAAGAGTTTTTAACTACTACTGGATTTCTTGAACAGAGATGTTGTAACAGAGAAATTTGATATAAGATTCTGATAAATCGCAATTCTTACTTTGTATGTACAAAATATCTGCTGGGCAAAGCCTGGCTAGCTTTCTGTGAGTGTAGATAGTCCTGCTAGGGCTGATTCTGATATCATACTGCTTTTTATGGTGATATTAAAGACTCAATTAACCATAAGGAATCTGCTTCTTATTTATATCTGAGAAGTAAAATCAATCAGGCCAGCTGACACCCATGTGAGTGAGTTAAGCAGGATTTGACTCACATATTTTAACTGAAATTTCAAGTATACAACTCTGACAGGATCAGGCCCCAACATAATTTTATCAGATGAAATTGAAAAAATCATTAATCTTAAAAGAACAAACAAAACACAACTTGTTTTTATAAAATAAGCTACAATAGCTATAATGCTTATTTTTTTCTAAATGTCATTGGACTCAAAGGTCTGGCAAATTAATTTTACCAGTTTTTCAGGTTTTTGTTTTTCAGTTATACAGTTTCAGTTATTTTTCAGTTTTACAAAACTGAACTGAACTATTTGATACAGATGGCATTATTCCCCACAAACACAATCCAAATCTTGCTCACCTTGTTCTTACAAATAACACATGTAAACACAGGGGAATGACTTATATGACTGATACCCTAAAGATCTGTATCTAGGTACAGCCATATATGAAAATATTATA